CAAATTATTTATGTATTCATCAATCTTTGATTTGGATGAAGTTAGCTAGTATTTTGTTCGCGAGAAAATAAGCGTTATAGAGTCGGCACCCGTCTTAACTTAGTTGCAAGTTGCAAGTCTAAAGAACATCTCCAGCAATGGAGGATTATAGTGTAATATTTTTTTTTATTTCTTTTACACTTCCTGCAAATAGATTGCATAAGGCAGACTTAATGCCGTAGGCATTTCCTTCCAGTCAACCTATTGGTGAACCAGAAACGTGCTTAGCGGGTGTACAATCAACATTATTTATTTACAAATAGTTATGTACACAAGTACAATTTACAATTTATATAAATATTACTCGTAGTTTTATTTACATTCTGCTTTATTTACATTATATTATAAAGCGAGGCGATGCATAATGCGATACGTCAAATAAATATTAGGAAAATTAAACGTTCTGTCAAAACAACATTTATTTCTTAGTTTAATTCCTTAACTAGCATTTTCGAAATTTTACATACATAACGTATTCTACCAATGAAAGGAAATATTTCCGTTATGAAAATAAACCAATAAACATACTAAAATATTAAAGAAGCATTATAAAGGGTTTGAAAACCACTTCTTCACTTTTAAGTTTAAGATATACCTATCTATATTTCTGGCAGGGCCACAAGAAATCGTGGCAAGGGACGACCGAGGTTTGTTTAGTTGCCTCTCTTCGGATGAGCTTATATCTTATATCTATAAACCAGACATGACTCAACAAGAGCCCAGTGACTAGTCACTGCTAGGTGCTATAAAGGTGCCGAAAAAATAAAGATTCTTTTACCCACACAAGTAGTTAGACGTTGTTAAAATTTCGTAGATTTATTATTACATTACACGTTTCATATTGTGTAACAACATACACATAAAAATCGTAGTTGCAGAAGTTATCTTAACCTGACCGTTCGTTCTGTGATTGGAAACGATACTGGGACAGGGTCATCGGGTGACTATTTTAGCATTGTATTTATATTTTATATTATTTAAACAACTCATTGTTTTATGAAAGTTAGAAAATACATTTCTTTACAAGTGCGTGAGGGAGAGCCGAGCTCGACACAAATAGACTGGCTTGACCAGAGTGATCCCAGGGCCTCACAGAAAACCGGTGTAAACCATTAAAATAAATAATCCGGTGACCCGGCTGCTCGTTTGCTCCCCTATTATATAAAAAAGTGTATGACCAGTATATGCCGTTATTTGACATTAAATTCAATCGGTCAATGGCCGATCAGGCTACTCTTTACATTATTCACAGTTTTTTCTTAAATTTTACACTACATTAATACGCAAACGTGAATACCGTTCTAAAAAATACATACATATGTCTGTGTTAACTGTTTTTTAATAACGCCAATTACATTGTACACAGACGGGGAATGTAGGTTACGATTAACTCTTCAAAATACATTATGGACGCTTGAATATAGTCCTTACTTACATACGTACGTAACGTTATTTTTTCCGCTTCTTACATATCTTACATTTTACATACTTTGGTCGCTTTGCAAAGATTTTTTTCCAGCGGCGATAAAGTTTCTAATTTTATAAAACTTAAAAGAAAATAAAGTTTTGTTTCGATTAAGTTATAAGTAGGTGGATAGTAGTCTATGTACGAGGGGTGATCAATAAGTAATGATAATCGAGTATTTCTAGAACGCACAAAAACCCAAATTATTTTTTTTCTGCTTGCTTATATATCCACTACTTCAGCTTCAAAAAAATGTATAAATAGGACACCATTACCGGGAGATACATTCATTTGAATACGAACTGTCGAAGAGAAAACATCAAAATGGAGAAAAATGAAATAAGAGCTGTCATCAAGTACCTCTGCCTGAAAAAAATGTCTACCAAAGACATACACAGCGACTTAGAGGAAACATTGGGGGAGTCTGCTCCTCCATATTCCACAGTCACACGCTGGGCAAAGGAATTTAAGCTGGGCAGAACCTCCACTGAAGATGAACATCGCGAGGGACGCCCTTCCACGTCCCTTACTGGAGAAAACGTCAAAAAAGTGGAAGATATCGTGTTGGCCGATCGAAGGGTGACCGTAAGGCATGTAGCTGAGGTCACAGGGATCTCCTATGGCAGCGTTCAAAAAATCATTGTCAACAAAATGCATATGAAAAAGGTCTCTGCGCGTTGGGTACCGAGAATGTTAACCGACGAGCAAAAAAAGAAACGAGTCGACATTTCGAGGGTGAATCTTCAAAAGTTCCAGGCCGATAAAGAATTTTTTTTGTCTCGTTTTGTGACCATGGACGTGACCTGGATCCACCACTTTGATCCCGAAACCAAACAACAATCAATGACTTGGAAACGAGCTTCCTCACCAACGCCGAAGAAATTCAAAGTGTCAAGTTCAGCGGTAAAGGTTATGGCGTCTGTTTTCTGGGATGCAGAAGGAATTATTATGGTGGAATATTTGGAAAAGGGGGCCACTATAACAGGCTCTTACTACGCAGGCCAAATAAGAAGATTGCGAGAAGCTATTAAGTCAAAAAGACGCGGTAAACTGCGCGCTGGAGTGCTGTTTCACCAAGACAACGCCCCGGCTCACAAAGCCGCAGTTGCGATGGCTGCCATTGAAGAAACGGGGTTCGAACTGCTCGAACACCCTCCCTATTCGCCAGATCTAGCTCCCAGTGACTTCTACCTCTTTCCTCGGCTCAAAGAACAACTCCGGGGCAACAAATTTGAGGACAATAGTGAAGTGATGGCCGCCGTAGAGGCATTTTGGGAGGGTCAAGACAAAGATTTTTTTTCTAAGGGAATCATGGGCTTAGAAAAAAGATACACTAAATGTATTAACTTGCAAGGAGACTATGTTGAAAAATAAAATACTTTTTTTAATCTAATAGTTCTGTTTCATATTGATTATCATTACTTATTGATCACCCCTCGTATATGCATACATAAATTCAGTAAAATTGCAAATAAAATATCCAGTACCTGGATGACCGATCTTTGCTCGGTATTTTTTTTTTGTAAATTTTATAAAAATGAAACCTAGCTAGATCGATTAATCGCCCCCGAAACTCCCCGAAAATCGTTGGAACCGTTTCTAAGATTCAGTATATTCAGTATATTCAGTATATACTAGTATATATGTATACAAGAATTGCTCGTTTAAAAGTATTAGATAGATATCGTGTAGAAATTATGAAATACACATAAAATCATCACTCGCTCTTTGCTCTTCTTTGAGATAGTGGTGTTGACCTTTGTTACTATTAAAACATTACTTCATATCACAAAAAGTATCTTATTCGTGAAAACGTTCGTTCGGGTTGATGATATTTTCGTAAACTGTATGCAGTGTGGTGTGGTAACGGATCAAGAATACGGAGTGTATCACCACCCTTATTCATCCCGTGGGGGTTCTAAGAGAGTAAAACAGCACTGCAAAGAGAATAAAATCTTGACATAAACCCTATACCAACTCGTCTGACCAGCGAAACCTCCTTTCTAAGGAGAGGCCTATGTTCAGCAGTGGACTATTAAATGTGATGTGTGATTTATAGTATTATAAGCATTTCGTTCATGGCTTAGATCACGTAAAAGTTAACTTTCTAACCCTCGGCAGTACATTACTTTCTTTGTGGATATATACTTGCTATGTCGTTGTCTGTATACCTGGTTCTGATTGACATCTGGTTGGCAATGGACTTGCTACCTGTTACGTGGATTAAAGATGTAGTCGGCTTAATGTGGGCGTTTAATAAAACGTTATTTACTCCTTTGCAGATAAAGTGTAAGTGTATGTATAGTGACACCGTGATTGATTGTGATCGGTTTAGTAGATACTTAGTGAAAGCGTAACAAACAAACGGTAAATTATCTCACTTTTACATTTATGATGTTTGAATGTGATTTTCGGTTGTTTTAATTATAATATTAGGTCTTTACCTATGAAATTGCCGTTTTGTATGCAATAAGTGAAAGTACTTATTTTTTCAAACTTTTTTATTTCTGTTATTCGAAGTAATCACCCATGCAATCGACGCATCTTTGCTAACGCATTGGCAGTTTATTGATGCACCTACCGACTATTACTTTTCCAAAATTTAGACAACTTTTTAGTGGGTAAAAAATTCAATTCCCGAGAGGCAGTACAAAATGCCTTTGAAGAGTTTGTTGCCTCCCGTCCAGCTGATTTTTACAAGAAGGGCATCAATAAACTGTCAATGTGTTATAGACCTATTATAATGCTAAACAGCGTAATTCTTTTAAAACCTTATAGACATTTGAAAAGTTACATCCATACTTATATTATAAATGTGTAAATTTGTTTGTTACGCTTTCACGCCTAAACCGCTAAACCGATTTAAAAAATTATTTCACCAATGGCAAGCTACATTATTATCTGCAAGTAACATAGACATACACGCGGGCGGAGCCGCAGGCAAAAGCTAGTACATAATTAATGATGTATGTTATTATTAGAATGTTATAAAACAGATACTTATTTGACTGCACGGATGGCGTAGTGGTTTAAGCGGTCGCCACGCCACTTCCTACTACGCCGTGTGTTGTGGGTTGAAATCCCACATGGGACGACACTTTGTGTGATCCACATATTGTTGTTCTGAGTCTGGGTGTTCTTTGTGTCCGTTTCATGTATGTTTGTAAAGTCCCCCGCGACACAGGATATATTCCTAATGCCGGAGTTGTCTTTCTAAAAAAAAAAAAAACTAATTTGCCCCATACGGAAGAAGATTATAAAAGAAGATCCTTTAGTAGGTTTGGGGTAGTTTGTGATTTAAAAAAAATCATTTTAAACTATTTGTGTCCGATATTTTGCCGCATTTATCCAAGGAATGATGTATGGCTAATAACAATTTGGATGAACTGCCGCCCACAATTGTCACACCACTCAAGGAGCTACCTAATACCAGATAGACCTCTAATGTCTGTCTGAAAAACAATATTTTCAACATACACTTCTTTTTTGTCACCAGATGGGAGCAGGCGCGAACGGGCCAGGAGGTAGACGCGCCTTAGAACTTATTTTGAGTGGTGGACTCAAGTCTCTGGCGAGGCCGTCAAAACCAGTGCGACGAGCTGCCTCTAGGGACTCGGTGCTGTCGCAGCCGCAGCCCCTGCTTGAAGGTAAGGTCATCAAACATTTCATCTCTCTAAACCGATGCAATTCTGGATGTACACGTGGAGTGTATAGCAAAAAAAGTGGGTCGGTCTAGAGTATTAGGTAAGCAATAGTTACATATAGTCCTCCGTGTGGTGACGCATTAAGAATAGGGATTGTCACCACCCTATTCATCCCGATGGTATCATAAGAGCCGACTAAGAGAGCAAACTACGCAGGACAACAGCACTGCAAAGAGAAGGAAAACTTGACACAAACCCTATACCAACCCGTCTGGCGTGGTATAGTAGGCCAAAAAATCTTTTCTAAGGAGAGGCCTATGTCCAGTAGTGGACTGTTAGAGGCTGTTGATGTGTGATGTGATGTGAATAGTTATATAATTTATGGATTTCTTCCCTTTAATAGTGCACACCACTCCAACAACTTTCCACAACTCCACACCTAGGCTCATATTTTGCGTACGTAGTAATAAATCTATACAAGCAAGCCTAACTCCTCAAATATTTCCAGAATAGTAATCCCCTTTACATTACCAACGATCTCGGAGACTAGCCTTGACGAGCCAAGGTATTCTGCAACCCCCTGACATTTCATCATTACATGGGCCGCTATTTCATCTTCTTTTATTTATATTCTCCAGAGGTCTGTCCGTAGCACTAATACCAAAAAGGTTACGCTCCACTATGCAGCGGTTATAAACGTTCATTTTGCATTCTTATTCGCTTTATACTGGATATATTGACAAAGAATCTTCCTGTCTAATTATATATGCTCAACATATTGCTAGCAACCAAAAGTGAGATTGGGGGAAAACTGAGAAAAGAAACAATAGGTAATCAATTCTCTTCTAATTACAAGTAATTATTACGTCTATTATTCATAATGAACTGTGTCAAAAATTTATCATTCTTACATAAATAGTCCTTGGTTTTGTATAATTGAAACTTAGATAAGAACTAATACTTTCTATAACAGTAATATACACCATTTTCTACGTCTTTGACTGGCATTGATGCAAATACTGTAAATTTTAACACAAGTAGAAATTAATTCTAGCAAGTAAACACTTTCTCGATATGCAAATACAACATTAAGTTTGTCACAAGATTATCGATTTCTGTCACACGGCTAGTGATTAAAACATATTAACTACTAAGATTATAATACGTCTAGTTGGACAGTCAAAGCTGTGAAATCAGAGGAAAAAAATAGCGTCCAACTTTTGGCCTCTAAAAAGTACTGTCACGTGTGGATACGCACACGATGCTTTTATATTTAGTGTTGTTTATTGTGACGATTTGTGTGATAAAAGTGTATAGAAATTATAAAGGACGATCTAAACAAAAGTAAAAAGTCCGACTGCAAATATCAGTTTTGGAGTTTGTGTGTTTTCTGTATGTAAATCCGTAGATTTACAAAATATGAGTATTTATTTAGTCAATCAAGCTTGCATAGTACTTTTAAGCCAAATGGTAACGTGTACCTATAAAAAATAAATGTAAGCAAAACAAAACAATATTTATATTATTGTTCTTGCTTAGAGTATATTTTTCTGAATTAAAAATAGATTGAACACAGATTGGAAGCAGAATGACGTGACGCGAGTGTAAGACGAAGCTGTCACTCACACTAATATTGAAAACTCGACTCATTTCATTTTGTTATTTTGATGATCTAGTCATATTAATAATCTAAGATTAACTATTAAACTTTAAGGGAAAATTGACTTTAGATCAGTCTATCAGTTCTGAAGGCTAATATCTAAGTTTTTGGCATACTTAAACTTTGTAAATGGTATATTTATAGTGTATTTGAATGATTATCAAATGCATTTACTATAACCCGGCAATCTCGTGCGCCACCGTCCCGCGGGGTGACAGACAGTGGCGGGGGCGAGGTAGCGCGTCATTCTAGCACACGGCTACACACGAAGAGAAGTGTTTCCCTTCCCCGGTACACCACCCGTTACCCGCTGACATCTTGAGTACCTCGTCCCCGCCACCGTCTGTCACCCCGCAGGACGGTCGCGCACGCCGTTGATGGACTAAGAAGCTGTTATTATGACATTGTATTGCAGGTTATTAGATAACTTGCGAGACGCTCTGACGTTTTTGTAACAAAATGTTTTGAGCTTTACATCAAATATGATAAGATTTACAACAGAATGTTAAATATTAGAAGAGCCTTAAGATTTTTCATCCTTTACGCACTTGGGACTAAACAAAAGACTCTAAACGAAGAGTTTTAATACAGTTCCTTTTTTAATTTTCTGCTAAAGTATTTAACATTCCCTAACTGAACGCAGAAGAGGTTATTACGTAATAAAAATGTATACTTAAATTCTTTTGCGTATTCCGTTAATTGGAAAACTGATTTATGTGTTAGCGCAGCACCGTTTTGAAGGAGCTGATACGCGAAATAAAAGTATTTATGACGTTCTTAGTAAAACACTTTGCCTTTTTTATCAAACAGTTTTTGTTCCAAGGTTATATCTAAATCATAATATTATCATCATTCGTTTGACTCTTGTATTTGAATAGTACAAAGATGAGGGTATGCGGAAAAACTGTGGCAGAAACGGGAGGTTTGCTGAAAAATCGGCGACAGGAAAAGGAACCTTATAAGCGATTGGGATAAAACAAGCGGCAATAATACGATCCTTATAGGGGTCTGCATCAATGAGGGTTTACGTAAACGGTTAATGTCTCATTATAATTATTATTAATTGTACCCAAAGTCCTAAACCCATAGAACATAGGGAAAGTCAGTTTTTAGTATACGTACAATGGAGTTATATATACTATTATGTTATATTATGAATTCTTATGCCACTATTTTATACTCGTATGACCCATTAACCTTAAGATAAACCGAACGGGTATACTCGAGATCGGCACAATAGTCAAATACTCGAGATCGGCACAATAGTCAAATGTTTTATAATAAATTCTACAAGAAATCACCGTCTTTTTTATTTGTGATAGAATTTGAGCAAGTGTTTTATGTTCATATTCACGGAGGCCAAACACAAGGAACGCTGGACGCATTGCAGATACCCAGATAGCAAACGGGACACAATATCCGATATATGATAGATAATAACAATATTTTTTTGGACATCTGACACGCAACGCCATCTCGTTTCAAACTAAGCAGAGCTCTTGTACTATGAAAGTTAGATTGACTGATAGAAGTTCTTTTTTTGCAAATAGATACATGTTATACATAGTTTGGGTGTCCAAACTGCGAAACAAATCTATACCGGGTTGAAACAATCGATCAATTGTATCGATCATACAAACATTTGGTTCGGCCCGTATATATACGTATATTATTGCTATTATGATATATCAATGTTTCGAAACTGAAAGGAGGCATCACAAATTAATTTTTTTCTCATTTCCATTCTTGTCTCCATTACAGTCTTGAAGTTTGTTGTCATGGGTGGCGTAGTCAGTAAATATTTGCTGTTGCCACTCGGCTACTTCAAAGCTATTATACAACGCTTATATAAGACACTGTCTTTCGAGATCTTTTGATAATTTGCTAACACAGGTTCTTTTTCAAAAACTGACTGTAGTGAGGCATCACAACTCTTATCGGCCTTAGGTCTACTAAGATACGGCTGAAATTCGTTTTTTTACGCGGAGCGACTGACCTCTACAACCCAGGTACTAGGTGATATCGAAGTTCTGTAGAAAGACCATTGTCCCATATTGTGGGCATACAGATGTTCGTATGGCAACCGTGACCGACGACTTAGAGTGCTCTTCGAGGTACGGAGGGATTTCAATGTGTTGATAATGATCATTATCATCCAGTCACCATGTGTGGTCTGACCTGGCTATGATTGCTTAACTGAACTTTGTAATGCCTTAACCCACTCGGTTACCACTAATATGGTCTCTAATCTATATATTATTCAATGAGGTTAGTGTAAGTAACAAAAAGTAAGTCAAGTCAAAAGTAAGTTAAGTTACAGTATCACAATTTATATCAATAAAACACAGCTCAAAATGATCAGAACGTAACGCAATTCGTATACCGCACTTCAAAATAATTCCATAAACCTCGTACACAGTACTCCAATATACAATAATAAACTGAAATGAGTTTATTAATAGGATTACACTTTATCGACACAAACAAGCACCCATTTACCTATATGCTCCCACCCTCAGGGGAAATGACTTGAATTCCCATAAATAGATTATCGCTACCGAAAATGAGTCGCTCTCACGGGATAACGTTCCATGGCTCTGATTTCCAATTAGCGTACTCGGTCTTTTTTGTTTCGGCATTTTTTTACCTCGTATGAAATCCCATACTGTTAGTCTAACTAATGGCATTTCCCATCAGTTGGGTCAACAATACGTCATTGGGTCTAAAATGTCACGTTGTCACGTCACATTGTTAGTGAAGGTGAAATAGTGATTAGTATGTTTGACCTTTGTAACGAGCTATCTCATTGTAATGTAAACTTCCAACTAAATTATTCCATTGTAATATTGATTCGATTCAGTACGATATAATAATCTTCTTAAATATATTGGAAACCAAATATTTTTTTAAGTACTTTATGAGTTTATTTATTTTATTCTTTTTGCACAAACAACAATTCATTGTACAATGGCGGACTTAATGCCACAGGCATTTTCTCCCAGTCTACCTTCCCAGATCTACAAATTGTCGTTCTGAGTCTGGGTGTTCTTTGTGTTCGTTTTATGTATATTTGTAAAGTTTCCAGTGACACAGGATATATTCCTAATTGGGGAGCTGTCTTTTTATAAAAAAAAAACCTTTTTTTCTCTTTTTGGTTTCACACCATTAGACATGAAAAATGTTTGCTACTTTTAAATCATATTGATTTTAAGAAATGAATAGTTTTAGTCACATAAGATTTCAGTGTGGTGTCCGTGTGGTGACGGATTAAGAATACAGAGTGCCACCACCCCTAATCATCCCGTGGGTGTCGTAAGAGGAGACTAAGGGAGCGAAACACGCAGGACAACAGCACTGCATAGAGAAGGAAAACTTGACACAAACCCTATACCAACCCCAGACGGGTTGGTATAGGGTTTGTGTGCCTTGTATGGGTTGTGGCCAGCGTGGTATAGTAGGCCAAAACCTCCTTTCTAAGGAGAGGCCTATGTCCAGCAGTGGACTGTTAAAGGCTGTTGATGTGATGATGATGATGATGAAGATTTCAGGATATTAAGTTGTTTAGTTTACTTACATGTGTATTCTTAATAAATATGACTACCTTACATGAAAGTTTGTATTTCAATGTCACTTTTGCAACAAAAAAGCTATTAAAACGGTAAAACAGGTATAATATTCTTTTATAAAATTATAAAACATTCTACGATCAAATTAAGCAGCGGCATTACAGTACACTGAAAACGAACGAACTCTCATAAATATTTCACAAACACTTTTTTATGCTTGCACAGTTTACATAGAATCTAAATTGATTTTCATGCAAATATTGATTTTTATGCATACAAATATTTGCAGGATAGAGTGGATTCACTGCCGCTGCGCCACAGAGGATGTTATGTAGTAAAAATACTCTTTATGTCATGTTGATCAACCGCTCACAACTCTTAAAAACTAATTTCGAGCTCTTGTGACGATAAACGCTATACCAGATGCTCTTCAAACCATCCCCGCTGAGTCTAACCTAACTTTATTGGCGTTTGTAGTTTCATTATAAAGATTGATTGGTCGTTACTCTTCCAAGTTTGCCTTAAAGGCGTTAGAATTCCTATTAATTAACTCTAGTGGAAAAGATTAACATGTTCTCTCTAATAAGACGCTTTCGTGGATCACGTGCTGGTGTAATTGAGTTGCAAAGACTGTACTACTGTACTATAGTTACTTCAATACGTCATCACCTTTAATAAAGTATTTTGTAGAGCTGTGTTTAAGTCTTGGTGATTTTATTTTCAAATTTAACATTACGAAAATTACTCGTAAACGATAGTCGTAATAAGCAGGTCCTCAATTTGAGGATCACAGGACAGGTTAGTCTCACTTCAAAGGCCGGCTACATACCTGCGCTTCGTGAGTTGTAGGTGAGGTGTTTATTGACGTTTGCCATATAAAAAAAACTGAAGAATTCTTTAAGACAGTTTAACATGTAAATACAGTCATTTTACAGGTGTCAAATGTTTTTTTTATGAAATAAAAAGCCTCTCATGTCTCTTCTATGTGGCGGAGAGAGGAGTGGAGGGGGAGGGGGCTCTGTATAACGAACAGACGAGTCACCTGGGCCTCAATTCTGCTATTTTATGTCCAAGCCACTGTCATACCACTCACACGCTATTGAGATGCCATCGAGTGACCATTGGCATCGGTGTAAATATCGGTAGTCTACACTAACTCAGTGTCGTTACAGTGGCCATGGAATGGCAGTGGCTCATCAGTGGTGATATCAAAAAGATTGGAATATTTGGAAAAATAAATAAATCATTTCTTCAAAAAAAACGTAATATATTTTCAAATTACTAGTATTAGACACCGCTTGAAGCTGTATCATTCCGGTTACCACAAATAAAATATAAAATCTTTATTGTTTCACTACGTCACTACAGCGATTCCTTTTAAAATTCGTCGTCTCAAACTCGTCGATCTCATACTCATAACGGTTATTTGTTTGTATAAAATCATATTGAGTACTCTTCTCTTGCACGTTCGGTCCTCGATTTTCAAGGCTTGCCTTTCACAAACTGGAAAGTTAATTTCGAAAGTAGGGTTTTATAATCTTATTAAATATTGTTCAGAGTTCCCTTCTTAAGAGTATTATTCTATTGTTGTAGAAATAGTCCAAATCAGAGGGACAATAGAAACTTTTGGCTTGTGCTTTATCTCGAATATCCAAAGGTTTCTATAATTAGGTGTCATTTTTAGGTAAAACTACTCAAGTAGGTAAATAAAAAATTTATATATCATGTGAAGTTGCAATATATTTGCATTGATTTTATTTATTATAGAAAAAACAGATCTTATGTTAAAATATGGCTTCGTTCTTATTTAGTTTTGTATTAGTAACACAATTAATTAATTTACTTAGTCAAGATACCAGTTTTTCAGGTATTAAGACTTTTTGTAACAGGCTTGTTAGTCTAGTGGTTCTGGTTAGTGATCCCGACTGCTAAGCCAAGGGTTGTGGGTTCGATTCCCATTCAGGACAAATAATAGTTTGGGATCAGACGGCTATGCTCGAAATGTGTGAGGTTATTATTATTGTACCATATTTACCCATTAAAATAATTACCTTCATAATGAAGACATGCTATTATAGAAATACCAATTAGTTTCCTTTTATAGTCAATATAATTCGAAACGTATAACTCACCCTAGATTTACTATTTGAGGGTGTATTCAGATGGGTAGGAAGAATTTAATATAGCGAGAGTACGCAAATAAGGGTGAACCTGTTATTAACTATAGGTAAAGGAGTTCTGGGGTTTTTCTTGTATAAATATTTGCCTTAAGAAAACTTTATCAGAGGTCCTTATTAGAGGTCCTTAGCTATATGCCCGTTCGAATTGCTTCATGTTTACAATCTTCTCTGTCACGTGGTATAAACCTTAAAAATACCGACTATTACTTTTCCAAAATTTAGACAACTTTTTAGTGGGTAAAAAATTCAATTCCCGAGAGGCAGTACAAAATGCCTTTGAAGAGTTTGTTGCCTCCCGTCCAGCTGATTTTTACAAGAAGGGCATCAATAAACTGCCACTGCGTTGGCAAAGATGCGTCGATTGCATGGGTGATTACTTCGAATAACAGAAATAAAAAAGTTTGAAAATATAAGTACTTTCACTTATTGTATACAAAACGGCAATTTCATAGGTAAAGACCTATTATTAATAATTCTTGAGTCATTTATTCTCGCTGCGGTGATAAACAGAGAAGGGAAGAAGTGATGGCCGATTGTTGCTATATAATTACAATATATTTATGTTGCCATTACTTATATAAATTTCATGTTAGTAATATGTACAACATAATTTGTTAGACTTTAGTATACACAACTCTTTAAAAAGCGTTTAAAACGCTTTTTACACAAGTGTCATAACAGTTATAATGGCATTGTAATAGAATATCTTTTATAGGTCAATTGACTACATTTTAGATTTTGCCCATGGCTTCGCTGATGTGAAACTTTATTTTTATCACTAAACTTTGCTGACTTAGAAGTGAACGTTTTGTGACTAATCTAAGTAAATGTTTGTCCATCAGGTTTAAGAAAATGCTCGACTGTGCTCGCTCTAACAGACCGCGAGAGGAGCTCAGAGCCAATCAGAGCACACAACAGGCTGCGCGCGCCCTCCGTCTGCTCCCGATGTTCTTCACTGTTGTCCCTCGCCGGTGCTGGAGGCTCCAGGTAGGCCTTGCATTTTCAACCGTCAATAGATAATCAAATTTAAAAAAAAACAGATGAAATGAGCCTGATAAATAAATAGCTGTTTTATGTCTCTGTTTGTTTTACTACTGAATTGCAGTATCAAGCTCAAGCGGCAAGGAATAGTCTCTCTTTTTCTTCTTTTTTTATTTTTTGAATAGGTGAATTAGTAAATATTATACGTTATACTGAGTCCAACCATGTGTTTAACAATAAGTACCTCATTACCTGTCCCTATATAAATTGTTTCACAAGATAGACATAAGATGCGTCAAGGAAAAATGAGTTGTCTAACTACGATTATTTTCAAATTTCGTTATTACTACTTAGGGCATGAAAGCGTCACGAACATTAAGCACTAACCTGAAAGACGGTTGCTCAACTTTAGGAGATTCATTACCACAATTTAAAGTATAATCTGTTTTTACCTGTTTATTTATTTTATAGATATTTAAAAAGACTTATTCGCTTTCTTTAACTTGTTCTTTGGTCGATTTTTGGCGAGACTTATACGTGTTCCGTACATCATAAAAGTCCTGTGACAATATCACTTGAAAAATGAATTCTGCACTGATAGCTATATTACCCACTATTCATGGCCGAGTCACAGAAGAATTTAAGTATTGATATTTATATAACAGACAGAGGCAGACACATTTTTTACATGTTTATATACACGTGACTGGCCTATTTGCCTAGTGGTTAGTGATTCTAAGCCAGGGGTCCTTGGTTCGATTCCCACCTGGAACAAATATTTGTGTGGTGAGCACGATCGTTTGTTCTGTGTATGGGTGTAATTTATCAATGATATGTATTTATTTAGAAAGATATAATATGATTATCAGCAGTGTTTTAACAATAGTACAGGCTCTGCCTGAGTTGGCACCAGACGGCCGTGTGTGAGATGTGGTAGGTTATTTTTATAAGCCTCTATATCCCCAAAGGTGTAAGCAAATGTAATGTGTGTAATCAATCAATCATTTGTTAAAGTTAAAGAGAAGGAAAACATGACACAAACCCTTTTTTTTTTTTTTTTTTTTTTTTTTTTTTTTTTTTTTTTTTTACGTGTGGAAATCCCCTCGGACCGTCACCCCTCCGGGGTTTGCGGCGGGGTGGTGTGTCGGACTCGGACCGACTAAAACCACACGGTGTGCCACTCTGCGCCTGTAACAGGAGGGATCCGAGAACAGCTGTTGTTAAGACATCCGGACCCCTCCTAGCGCCAGCCCGCTCCTGGTGCGGGCTCCGTCTCAGTATATTTTTCCTCTCTTTAGGCGACGTCCGGCACACGCGGACGCCGCCCCCTCGCGGCTGGCCAACTAATGCGGGTGGAGGGGAAACCCACCCCGTCCACCCGCGGCCACACTCAGGGCGGCATGAGGCTGTGATAGGCGGGCCTCCGCCGCCCGGTTCGCCGGCGGCGGATCGGGTCCGAGTGGAGGTCGTCCTCCCGGGCCCTCTCCGCCGCCTCCTTCCGCGAGATTACTACCTCGCAGAAGGTTGCGACCGCGGTAAAACAACTGTCGCTACCGGCCATGGAGCGTACTACGGCCGGTAGCGAGAGATCCACTCCGATGACTGCAGTGAGGGCCCGGCGCTGCGCCGCCCATGCGGGGCAGACCGCCAGCGTGTGCTGGGCCGAGTCCTCACTGCAGTCGCAGTGGTGGCAGGCGGGACTCAGTTCCCTCCTAGCGACCGTGTGCAGGTACCTTCCGAAGCAACCGTGCCCGGAAAGCACCTGCGTCAGTCGGAAGGAAAGGGTCCCGTGCTGCCGCCCTGCCCACTCGGCGATGACCGGCTGGAGAGCCTCCACGGCGGCGAAGCCAGCGCGTGGAGTCTCCAGCCGGAACGACCAACGAGCCATCGTGGCTCGGCGAGCGGCTTCGCGCCACTCGCGCACATCCTCGGGCGGAGGGCGAAATCCGCTCTCCGCCCGGAAGTCAGCCACTCGCCGATAAACTTCGGCGAGCACTTCCGCCTCCAAATCCCACGGGGGAGTTCCGGCCAATGCGCATGCCACCTCCGTCGAAACGGTGCGGTAACCGCGTATGGCTCTGACCGCCATTACCCTCTGAGGGCGCCAGAGGCGTACCCTATTCTGGGCGGTCAGAGCCGCCGCCCACACCGGTGCACCGTACAGTGCCATTGACCGGACAACCCCCGTGTACAGCCGTCTTGTCGCGACGCTGGGTCCACCCATATTGGGCAAAAGTCGCCCTAGGGCAGACGCAGCGCCGACCAGCTTTGGAGCAAGCTGTCGGAAGTGCTCGTCGAAGAGCCACCTCCCGTCGAGGATCAGGCCCAGATATTTCATCTGGGCCCGAACCGGTACGAGGACCGAGTTGACCACGATTGAGGCGCCAGGGGGTGGACCACGACGGGGCCCATGGAATAACAGGGCCTCCGTCTTATCTACCCAGGCCACCCGTAAGCCCAGCGCCTCAATGCGCCCGACCACCAGGGAGACTCCCCCTGTGGCCAGGCGCGCCGCCTCTTGGAAGTTTGCCCCCCGGGCTGTCACGAGGGTATCGTCTGCGTAACAGATTACACCCAGCCCGGGGGGGAAATCGGCGCGAAGGGCCCAGTCGTACCCTATGTTCCACAAGAGGGGTCCAAGAACAGACCCCTGTGGAACACCGCACGACATGGGCCGACACCTCAGATTACCTTCTCGGTCCTCGTACACGACGGTACGCTCCTCTCAATAGTCTGCCACCAGCCGCCTCAGGTACTTTGGCACCCCATGATAGTGGAGTGCTTCCCTGATGCAGCTGAATGGCAGACTATTGAATGCGTTGGCGATGTCTAATGACACCGCCAACAGCACGCCGCCACAGCTCACGGCCTCTTCGGTCACGGCCCTCAGGCGCAACACGGCGTCGACCGTCGAACGCCCCGCCCGAAAACCAAATTGGGCGTCCGACAGATCGGGGCCCACCTCGCAGAGGTGCCGGACGATGCGGGCAGAAAGAACCCTCTCAAACAATTTGCCCGCCTCGTCCAGCAGCACGATGGGCCTATAGGCCGCGACCGAATCGGCAGGCCGTCCCGGCTTCCTCAATAGGACCAGCTTCCCGCTCTTCCAGCACTCAGGGAAGCGTCCCGACGCCAAGCTAGCGTCGAACACCTCCCCGAGGCGGTCTGCCATGTGGTTGAGGGCCAGGGCCAGCACTCGGGCCGGTACCCCGTCTGGCCCAGGGGCGGTGTTCTTGGAACGGATCCGTAGAACAGCCGCCCCTACCTCCGATTCCCGGACGGGCGGAACATTATCCTCCCCGTGCTCCCCGTCGTCTCCGGCCAAGGAGGCCATCGACGGGGGAGTGTGTTCCGCCCGTTGTGGGAAAAGGCCCTCAACCACTTCTCGCAGGAAGCTGGGCTGGAGAGTCTCCGTAAGGGGGGGGCCCGACGCGCGGAGCTTTTGTCGCACCGCGCGGTAAGGGCGACCCCAGGGGTCACGATTAAGACCCTCCAGCATCTCCTGTCTTTTTTCTTCTTTGGCGCGGCTAATGGCCAGCTTCAGAGTTTTCCGCGCCCGTCGGTACTCCTCATGAAGCCGGTCCTCCTCACCGTCTCCGCGGTGACGCCGCCGACTGCGCGTGTAGGACCTCCGGGCACGTGTACAGGCCGCACGGAGGTCCGCCAGCTCCTGGGACCACCAGTAGACCTCCTTCCTTGGAGGCCGACGACCTCGAACGCGGGGCATGGCCGCATCGCATACATGCGTAATCGCATCGCGAAAGCGGCCAGCCCCCACGTCGACCTCCTCGATCGGAGCCTGAGGAGACAGCCACGAGTGAATTATGGCTGCCTCCTCTAGTAGGTCCCGGTTCAGCCTGGCAACAGCCCACCGCGGAAAGCGGGATAAACGCCGCGCCACGTGACCCCTACTGGAGTCCTGGGTCCGGGAGAGCTCAAATCGGATATACAGGTGATCCGAGAGCGTCTCAACCTCTTCCAGGACACGCCAGTTCCTTACTCGTGCGGCGAGGGCAGGGGTAGCGAACGAGAGGTCCACTATCGACCCCCCCTGCTGTCGCACGCACGTTTTGGTGGAGCCTCTGTTTAGGAGACAGAGGCCCACCGAGGCCGCCCACTCCTCTACGGCCTCGCCCCTGGCGTCCGTCCTGGGGGAACCCCACGCAATGGACTTTGCGTTGAAGTCCCCCAGCACAAGGACGTGCCCAGACGCTAGTCGCCGTATCGAGGTCTCCAAGCTGGTTAGGAAAACCTCGAAGTCGTTCAAACTCCGGTTGGGGGAGAAATATACACCATATATGGTGATCCCCCCCCACTCGACGGCAACATATCCAGTGCCCTTGTCTCTTAGCGACAAGGGCGGGGAATGAGCCGTCGTGGAACCGACGACTGCCACGGAGCCGTCCCAGTCACCCATCCAGTTTGGACGGGGAGGGACAGAATAGGGCTCCGCGACTACGGCAACACCTATCGACCACTGTGCCATGGTTTGCAGGAAGAGATCCTGCGCTGCGGCACAGTGGTTCAGGTTCGTCTGGACCAGGAGGTTGGAGACTTGATCCATTACTGGATCGTCTCTACAACCTCCTCCATGGGCGACGACGTCGACGCACGAACTACATCGGAGGCAGCCTGGGTCGACTGGCTAACCCCCGACGTCTGCCGAGAACTGCGGGGAGGCTTGCAGCCTCTCTGCCCCATCTGGTGATTGGCGGGCTTATTGCCCGCCGCACACACTGGGCAGTGAGGGGCGGCAGAGCATTTTGCCGCCTTATGCCCCGGTTGACCGCAGCGGAAACACAGTCCGCCGCAGTCAAAACAACTGTCGCACTTGACGCGCGTGTGTCCCGATGCTAGGCATTTGTAGCATCTCATCGGTCTCGCCGCCAGGACTGTGATCCTGGCGCTCACGAAACCGATGAGCAGCCTGCCGGCGTCGGCCAATACTTTGGCCGACGCTACGGGACAGCTGACCCACACGGCGCCAAGCCCTCCTGGACCGGGGCGGATGGTGCCGACCCTGACGTTGTCCGCGCTGCACCCCGTCTTCTCCCGGATTACAGCGCGGACATCTTCGGCCGTCACAGAGTCGTCCAGGCCCGAGATGCGCAGCTCTGCGCACTTAGTAGGCCTGGCGATCTTTACACCATCCGTGGCTGTAAAGAGTCCCCGCAGCTTCTCGGCAAATGTGTCCGCCGTTTTAGCGCCTTCAGCCCCAGGGAACTCGAGGACTCGAGCTCCCGTCTGGGCGAGGCGCATTCTGACCCCCACCGTTCCAAAATCGTTGGCGAGGCTGTCCCGGGCCTTTTTGAAGACGGCCGCGTAGGACAGCCCGCCGTCCGCGGCCTCCGGGGACACGGTCACCACTACAGCCGCGGTTTTGGGCGGCTGCAGCTTCCGCGGCCTCTTTGTGGAGGCCGTTGCCACCGGCGGCGAAGGCTGGGCTTGGGCTGCTTTTTTGGCAGCCTTTTTGGCCCGCCTTCGGGACTTCTTGGAGCCCCTCGCCTCCTGCCAACCCTCGTTGGAGGGGGCAGGTGCGGAGGGGCCCGGCAGGGGTGTCGGAGTGGGGAGCGGAGGGAATGCCACTCCGCTCCTCGGCGCCGTTTTAGGCCCCGTCTTGGCCGGCGCCTGGGGATGTGCCTTGGCCGGCGCCTTAGCCGGTGCCTTGGCCGGCGCCTGGGCCGGTGCCTTGGCCCCCCTCCTCGGCTTTTGGGGAGCCGATGGAGTCGGGGCAGACGCCGCCGCCGCGTAGGAGACGCGGCCTCCCACTACGGGGAGCGCGGTCGGAGCGGCGGCCTTAGGCCGCTGTGCCGACGCGAGCGGGGGGCGCATAATCGGCGCAGGAGGCAGTCTCGCCTCCAGGCCAGCCAGGCGTCCGTCCAGCATATTCCCAACTGCGATGAGGATTTCTCGCAGCTGGGAGTCAAATGCCCCTGAGTTGGTGGTAGGGGCAGGCTGGGACGCGGACGGGGCTTCCCGCTCGGGGAGGTTCGCCTGGAAGCGGGCGAACTGAGCGCTCAGCTCGTTCACCCGCTCCGTCAGCTTCTCGTTGGCCACCTGCAGGCGAGAGACGTCGCCCGCTAGGCCCTCCACGACCTCCGACAAAGCGGAGGAGGAGTCCTTAAGGGCCCTCACAAACGAGCCCTTAAGGTTCACGGATTTGGTGGCCACCTTGTCGATGACGGCCACCGCCGCTTTCGCCCTCTCCTGCACGGACACGGGAGCCTGGGGGGCATTTCCCCCCACCGGCTGCCGAACCTTGAGCAGGAGATCCGCGATCTCCTCCTCCGCTACGGCCTCGCCGTCCACCCGTACGTTCCTGTACGACTCCGCGTTGGAGAACGCGGAGCCTGACGGGATCGCGACCGAGGCCGGTTTGCGCGCCCTCCCTCGGCGGCTGCTTGCCACCTTTGGTGGCATCATTTCGCCGGACGTGTCGGTTTCCACGTCCCCTGAGCGTCCGCGTTTCTGGCTGTCGCTCCGCTCCGCTTCCATGGCCTCCGCGCCATCCGATGAAGCGGCGGATCCGGAACGCAGCCGATCCGATGCTCTTCGGCTCCCAGTGACCAGAGTCAGACTGACCTCTGGGAGCCCCATCGAGATAGGCGTTCCCGACACCATCTCGCCCTCAGTGGACGACCCATCCGCTCCACTGTTCTGCTTTTCCTTCCTTCGCTGTGCTTCCTTTTCCGTTAGGCTTGCCTTTTTCGTTGGTTGTTTGGTTCCGATCGTCTTTTTTGGTTTTTGAAAATTATCCATAGTAAATCCCACGAGTGGGGGAGAACTAGAGGTCCACCCGGGCAGAGATCCCCCATTACCCGGGCAAGCGTAAGTTTTTAACCCAACCGAGGGGTCCGCAGGTACCTCGGCTTGGAGTGCGCTCGAGACTGAACTTCCCATCAGCCATGCATCCCCTGGCCACGCACCAGAACACGGGATTCGGGGAATTTTTTAGAGAGGTTATCTTCCTCGCGGTCCGGGCGGTTAAGCCAAGACCCTCGCCCCCGATCAGAGCCGCGAGACTTAACCACAGCGCTCTTCTCGGGATTGCGATATGCCGACGGTTGACAGGGAGACTACGTCCCCCTGCCTGCTCGGTGGTAGTGTGAGTACACGCCGAGCCCGTCCTCCTTTCTCCACCGCTGTCAGCGGAGAAACTGTGGCCCCTACAGGGCCCCGCCATCAGGTTTTTTACCGAGGTTTCCTCCTCCATGCTCCGAAGAGCGAAGAGCCAGCAGGGCAACCGGCAGACACGCCCACCCTGCTGGACCAGGCCTTGCCCGAGAGCCGATGAACGGCTGCCTCTTCTGCTAGAATATTGGCCGCTGGCGATAATCCTCTCCTCCAAGAGGACAAGGAGGAAACAGTACCATCGCCAGCGTTTCCAGGGTGCACCACGAGGAGGTTTTCTAGCCCAGCACCCCAAACCCTATATCAACCCGTTTGGCTGGCGTCATATAGTAGTCCAAAACCACCGTTGTAAGGAGAGGGTTACTCGTATTTCAAGCGATAGACTAATAAAGGCTGTTGATGTGGAATATTCCACTAAAAATATTGTACAAAATGCCTATTTTCCGACTTTTTTTCGAATCTGATGTTCGGATTGTAACTTTTTTTTTCATTAAGTTGTGTTTAATTTGGAGAGAAGAATTCTTTAAAATCGGTTCAGTAGTGTTTGTAATACGAACGCATAAGTAATTGTGGTTCCAAAGATAGAACATCTTAAAACCTTCATCAATATTGTATATTGGCAAATCAGAATGGGCGTAATCAAATCGTCTTGATAATACAAATCGGAGAACTCAATATTAATAAGATTGAAGGGTCATCCAATGCGAGCTACTCGAGAGCAGCCATTATTATTTACTGAATGCCCAGACTAGATGATTGTAGCAGTAAGAGTGCTGAGTAAATACAGCATTATTTGGAATGACCGTAGATTGACCTTTAGGAAACGAAGCTGTTGTGAGGTCACGCTAATCTAATCACCAGTGGAATGTTTACAGTCTGCACAGCAAGATCTGCGAGGCATTTGCTGGGGCCTCTCGGTTTGTGACAGCGCGTAGAACAGTGAGAAGTTTTTTTACCGTGCTGAAATGAGGAAAAGTAAAAAAATACATACTCTGAAACACTAGATTCACTAGGCGCCCGAGAGTGCAGAACGATGTACACAAAAAAATGTAGGTTCCTAATTCCTTTGGCAACTGTTTTTGATATCCTTTTTATATAAAATATTACTTCATTAGTTTATTAGTAGTTATTTTTAATATAATTCAAAAATATAGATATACGAGTACATAAATATTTATATAAAAGGTGTTTTTGTCGTAAGCAATTCTAATTTTAAATGTATCTTTTAATCATTTTAAAACTATACCTAATTTAGTTTTTCATGTCAAAAACGTAAATGGTAATTACTTAATGTGAATGACCGATGAAGGTTATCCATAAACAAATATACAGGAAGTTTAACACAGAAAAACCTGAATTACTTTCATTCTCGTCTGACATTAACTTAAGTGCGAACCATTGTGTAAAGGTCTCGAGAAGTTTTCGGACAATACATATTCATCACTCTCACAACGCCCACATCACGCGAATAACAGGATATATTTTTGACCTAACCTTTTTTTTGACCTTATTGTATAAGGAAAAATATCTTAATATCTTGAATCAACCTACCAAATGTCAAATTACCTGAAATTGAAATATGTGGACATACACGAGACAACAGATAGGAGGTTGAATATACGTTGCTGGTACTATAAATAGTAGATACTGTGTACGAATAAGCAATTGAGCAAATTGTTAGAATTTTCTGCCAAATTTATCTATATCTCTAAAGAAATGCAAGGGCTTTTCCGTTATTCTTTTATTAATTTACTTATTGTTAACATATAAAGGTATATTTTTTTTATATATTGTTGTTATTACAAGGGTATACTCCCAAGATGGTCCCTCTTTTCAAATTTATCACCAATCATCAGCCTCTAATAGTCCAATGCTGGACATAGGCCTCTCCTTAAAAAAATGAGGTTTTGGCCTACTATACTATGTTGACCAGACGGGTAGTCATCGGGTTCTTGTCAAATTTTCAGCATCTCTTTGCAGTACTGTTGTCCTGTGTAGTTTGCTGCCCTAGTCGGCTCTTACGACACCCACGGGATGAATAGCGGTGGTGACACTCTGTATTCTTAATCCGTCACCACATGGACAGTTATTATGTTAAATCGAGTTAGTCAATATGTTACCTTTTAGATAATGATGACTAATTTTAGGATTTTTTATATCAATTCTAGTGAAGCTTCAAATGGGATTTACTAACATTAATCATATTCACGTAATACTCTATTGTAAGTAATTTTAGAACGTGACTTGAAGATAGATTTGTTTAAAGTTCAAAGTCTAATTTCATTGAGTATTTAACATAGCTAGGTAATATTTGTGTACCATACGTAATGTTTTTAATTGAAACTATTTGTTTTAAATAAGGTCACTGAAAATGCTAAATAATAGTTTAAGAGAATATTCCTCTTATGGGGTAGTGGTTTAAGCGGTCACCTCGCCAATTGTTCTAAGTCTCAGTGTTATTTGCGTTCGTTGCATGAATGTTTGTAAAGTCTCCATACACAGAATATTATATTCCCAGTGCGGAAGTTGTCTTTAATAAAGTGCTCACAAATAAAGCTCTTCACTCGTATTCTTAGTGATCTATCAGGCAGTAAGCGGGGCATGACAGCGCAGCGGCTTGAGTCGTTGAAATGTACTAACCTGTTTACATCGCTCGTGTTTGTCATCTGACCTGATTTTGAGTCTTCTTAATTTTGTTCCAGGTATTCCTTGGACGGCGCTGGCGGCGGTTTTGTCCCGGCTGCTCCCATCAACTGCAAGCTGTGCTTAGAGGATGCGACACCAGATAAGATCACCATAATATCAGGCTGCGGTTGCTCTTTCTGTACCAAGGTGAGATACTTTACATATCAATATAAGCTCAACCCAGGCAATTATTGTAAGAATACTGTTCTTTTGTGTAACGATTGTATTTTGACTCATACCATACGTTCGTGAAACTAAAATTAATCAGCGATATATTATTATAGTTAACCGATAGATATACATTTAAACATGACTACCGTAATCCCCTGTTAATTTTAAATAATTGGAAAATATGAAGACTCAAAACTTCACATAACTTTTACTTAACACAAGTATAAACTTATAATAAGATTGCCCAATTTTGGATATTTTGCTAAACAATCCATCGTTACATATCTACTTACTTTGTTACGTCATCAAGTAGATATTAAGTAGAATACAGGAATGTGAAATACGAAAACAGTCGTTTCGTTAATTGGTGTTGTCGTGGGATAATTAAACTTAAAGGGGAAAAATCGTTCAAAAATCTCAGTTACGGTGAAAAATTTAGACTAATATTGGTCTACAAAATACGGTCACAATTACAATAGGTACTATATAAACCATATCTTTAAGGTCAAGCAGTTTTCTGTTTTGTCAATCATGTCATCAAACTCTCATTAAAATGTGATTAAAATACCTGAAGCGCAAAAAGGAATTAAGGAAAAATCTCGTTAATTAGAACTGTGATTAGGTACTTGGAGAAGATTTGTCTCAATTTAAAATAAATTGGACGGTAAATTTAGAACATTCAGAGCTTAGATAATTTATATGTCTAGATGAACAGTCAGTCTGTGAAAACAGAGGAAAATAGCGTCCAACTGTTGGCCTGTAAATGCTTTTCCCGGGTTTAGTATTAGAAGTAATATCACTGAATACGCACACGTTGCTTTCATATTTTGTGTTGTTTATTATGACAATTTGTGTGGTAAAGGTGTATAGTAATAATAAAGCGCGATCTAATTAAAATTCACCTATCATCGCTAAGTACTATTATTTCGTATATGTTCTAGCAAAATAAGGCGTTGAATTATTTATAAAATAATTTATTATTGTGTTCGCCATTTTGTATGTGTTGCTAGTTTATGAACTCAAGTTAAAACTCCCTTAATAATGTAATAATAATAATAATATACCTCACACATTTCACACACGGCCGTCTGATCCCAAACTAGGTAGAGCCTGTGCTATGGTGACCAGACTGCTGATAAACATACTTATATATTTTTAAATACATACATATTATAGATAAATTACACCCAGACACAGAACAAATGATCATGCTCATCACACAATATTTGTCCGGGGTGGGAATCGAACCCACGACCTCCGGCTTAGCAGTCAGGGGCACTAACCACTCGACCAACAGGCCCGTCAATGTGATTTAGTGATATTCCAAAATCTATAAAATTTAAATTTAAATATCATTTCATCAACAGCATTTAATATTCCGCTGCTGAACATAAGCCTCTCTTTAGAAAAGAGGATATCATTGAGAGGGTTTTAATTTTAAATTGAATACATTGAACCGCGTTGAGTGGTTTTTGGTGAGAGTAACATTTCATGAATTGGCGTTGACTGCAATGATGCATTGGTATCGCATACGACTGCTATGCACGCGTTCCATTCTCGGGTCGGACAAAATTTTTGTGTTTTCTATGAGTAATATGTACGGAGTTACCAAAAAAAGTACATAAGTATTAATTCAGTCAATATACGCTCCATAGTTCACGCTTTGCTTAGTTTTGAGGCCAAATGGTGACGTGTGCAAAAAAAAAACAAATGTCACGTGTTCAGCAAGAAAAAACAGTATTTATCATGATCATGAGACGAACGTGCGAACCTCAATACTAACGTGAAGAAAGTAAGAAAGTTAACGTGTATCTTATGTATATATACCTGTATAATAATAATTTAAGGGCACTTCACTCACACGGCCTTGTGATCCCTAACTAAGCAGAGCCTGTAATCGCATTCAAACAAACGAGCACACGGCTTGCCTGATATTACGTGACTAGCGCCGTGTATGTACTTAGTGATACCTATCATAAATATCGCATTATAGATAAAATTATATCCAGATACAGAATTAATAAACAATCGATTTTTTACGCGGAGCGACTGCCATCAGACCTCCACAACCCAAGTACTAGGCCAGGGATACCCAAAGTGGTCGATATCGACCCTACGATCTAGGAATCAGAATCACTAAAGACTGTAAGGATTATTATATAATCGTATCTGCTCACTATTTCCCGCGTACATCTCCACTCGTATGACTCTCGAACTCGTATTGCCTCCGAGCCTTTTTCCCAAGCTAGGCTGGGGTCGGTTTTAAGTCTACTACGATACACGCACCCACGAACTGGATCCATTTTAATAATGAAATAAAATAATATCTATTTAGACTGTTATATAAAGTCAAAAGCATATCATTATTCAACTATCATTGCCAGTGACTCCGAGGTGCCAATTGACTTCAACAAAATACCAAAACCTCCTCTAGTTCGATAGTAGAATGATGAGATATACATTCTTTTCAACATACGCCTGTAACATACGCCTGTCTTTTCTTAACAGGTGCATGAAAGGTTCCTTTCTTTTTAACTTCACAAGCTCCAATTTGAGTACCTGCTTGCGATCGTATGAACTAGAACCAGCCTAGGCCATTGTCGATCCGGGTCGGAGTCATACCGGTCATGACCCGTATGACTCCTCCCCAGAATGTGTCCAGATCCACCCTTTAATAGATATTATTTACTTAAGAACGTATTCTGCACCAAATCCGCCAACGTTTCAATGTACTTTAAAATTGATAGTGACTAAAACGGTCCTTTGAAAACAGACTGCTGCATTAATTACTGAGTCGTTTGAGTTGTACTGCGAACCACAATCAGCGATGCCAGGGCTGTCAGAACTACAGGTATAAACATGTGACTCTAAGCCTCAGTATTCTGACTGTAGGTAACAAATTTATTAAAAATAAAAAAAGACCTCAGTACTGAGATTTCAGACTGTCTTTCCAATAAAGCTTGAGTGAAACTTTCTCCTATTAAAAAAATTCAAACTCCTCTACCTTTTTTTACCGAATATTTATTTTACTGTGTGTGACACCCCTATGCGGATTAGAAATGAAGTTTTGAAGGTTGATTGCGAGCCTCATGAATCACTTTTAAGCCTTACATAGAGATCTATTAATAGAAACTACACGTGTTGCGTCTGTTGCGGTTGAGGGGATTTATGAATAGGTCGTGGTCGCAATTGCTCAACTATAAAATAACAATTTTTACATTCATCTAACGATTTGATTATGTATAGTTTTATTCAACACATATCTCTACTATTACAATAATTTGTTTTTCTCTTTTACCCATTTAATCCTCCACGGGCAGTGACCACCACGGGAGTTTTGGTACAATGGTGTGTGGAGATCAATCTGAATAACGACCTAGATTAATCTACAATACTCATTTTAACATGTTTATATAATATTAGCTGACCCGGCAAACGTTGTTTTGCCATATATATATATTTTTTAATTGCCAAAAAAATTAGGGGTATGAAAAATAGATGTTGGCCGATTCTCAGACCTACCCGATATGCACACAAAATTTCACGAAAATAGATCGAGCCGTTTCGGAGGAGTTCAACTTCTAACACCGTGACACGAGAATTTTATATATATGATTTATTTATTTGTACGTACAGGAATGAACGCGATCACGGAAAAGGTGTTACATTACATGACGTTTCAACTCTCCGTATCTTGTGCGGCACTTAAATTAGTTTGCTATCAAATTTTAGATAACAGATACTTTAAATTATGCCCGTATGTAGTTGGTAGTAATTCTAAAAAGTATATAACATTAACGTTCCTGCCATATTCTCGTTTCTAAAGTATATATGCAATTAATGTTTTACGATACATTTTGCAACGAACAACAGTGCGTGATAATATACTCTTTAAAACAATGAACGTTACCTTGAGGTATGAAAAGAAACCAGAATAATGAAATGTTACAAAATGTGCATTTAGAAAGGGTACAAGTAATCACTTACACATGAGCCATTATATGCTTTCGTTCTTCGTTTAAATTATTGTTTGTTTTTATTTTTCAATAACTGTAAACGTCAAATATAAATATATATACAATAATACAATTATAACAGCCACCTACCTTATCGGTAGGAGGATATCTCGATTCCTCAAAAGGGAGACGAGACTTTAGAAAATCAATTCATAGAACTTGGAGGTGGTTTTTTTATATTTATCGGATCATCTTAAACTGTAATTCCATGTCCGTCTCGGGACGTCCTTTCTACGATAAGACCGAGTCCCTTGCAATAGATTCACATTTACATTTATTTATTTACGTGGTGACGGATTAAGAATACAGAGTGTCACCGGGGTGGTGACACTCTGTATTCATCATTTTTCATCCCGTAGATGTCGTAAGAGCCCACTAAAGAACCAAACTACGCAGGACAACAGAATAAAAACTGGGAAATAAACCGTATACTAACCCGTTTGGCCAGCGCGGGATAGTAGACCAAAACCTCCTTTTTATACTCGTGAAGGCTGTTGTTGATTTATTTACGAATACATTCTCCTACTATCTTAACAGGTTTATCCCATGTCAATAATGAGCTTACTGAAACATATCAATAAAATAAACTTGACATGACACATATGACATGTAATGTTACCATTGCGAGTTCACTCCATTGACATGTAAATATGTCAATCCTATCGCTAAGTTCGTTTATAATTGGTATGGTCCGGCTGACAGGCGTTTCACACGGAGATCCAGATTTTTTGTCGGTTCGATCCCGACACACCACCACACCTTTAGCTTTGGTTGTTTGATGATCAGTGGGGTTTCTGTTATAGTGGGTTCTCTGTGAAACCTTGAGATGTCATCAATCATCTCAAGGTTCCTTACAATGTAGTAAAATTATATAATTGGTCTGGGGAATCTTATATGACGTCAGATTCTTTTTTTGTGACATAAATCACGTATGGTCAGTAATCATACACCACAGTTTAT